TGCCCCACCATTGGCTCTTTACTTAGCTTTCCTAATTCGATATAGAAAAGGATGAGCTCCTCTTAATGTTAATTTTTATTTCCATTTGTTTGATAGAGCCAGGGCCTTCAGCTGGTCACATCCTCTGTCCTTTGATAAATTTTGGTTCCTAAATGGTCTTATTTACTTGATTTATATGTGCTGTGTACATGATAAAGATGTTAACTTGTTTCTGTTCCAGTTGTTTTGTAATTTGTCTTACAGTTTATTTGCTTTTCTAAAGCATAATTAGACATTTTCATGGAGCTGTAATCATCCATTTTCTTTTCCTGTTGCCCTCTGAGCTTAAGAGATCTCCCCCTTGCAGAGGCTTGACAGTCACAGATAGATATTTTTAAAAAGAAAGCATCCATAGGGATGTTAAGAGTACTTGTAAGAAATGCAGCAGTTTGGGGCTGTTCTTCCTCAAGGCCATATTTACCTCATAATCTCTCCCTCTTTTCCTGCTCATACAGTTTCCCCACAGACATTTTCCTGCGAAAATGGGAAGGCAGATTTTGGGGGGGGGGGATGGTGCTCAAGGATATAGTTTATAGTTTTCAGAACACAGAGGGAGTTTGGGAAGGGCAGTTTGAAATAATGTAAAATGAAGAATTCCCTAAGCCTTTTTTACCATAATTTTCTACTGTATATTATCCATTCTTATGACAGAACTAGACAAAGCTTTCAACATAAAACTTTGAGAAAATTTTTATCACGTTTTTACATGCATGCAATCTAAGAAGCAAAATTGTTTTACACTACTTATTATGGAAAACAGTAGTCCTCAACCCTCACCCTAACCCTATTCCTCTATTCCAACCCACTTTCCTACTTTCTTGCAACTCTGCTTAACTGAATCTCATGGTATTAATATTTACCTTCATTTCCCTTTTTACAGGATTTTTTGTGTATGTGCTTATCCTCGGGTGTCTAGGTGACAGGGCAATGCTGTTTCTTTATCATTTCTAATACAAGCAGTTACCCACTTCCTGCTGGTGAAGGTCAGGATTTAGAGTCCTGTAACTCTGCACCCCCACATCCACCAGCTTGCATGCATTCAGTGCCTTTTCCTTACCTTCTTTCTCTCCCCAACCAGCCCACTACCAGAGTTAATGCTTCTTACCTTATCTCCCCAGTGTAGTTTTCTGTCTTTGATTTAACTGAATATTCAGTACTTACATTATTACAGTTTTGTAAATGCTATTCATAGCCTAGTCATATACTTTCCTATAATTACTTTTCAACACAATATTTTGTTTCCTACAGAGTTGGTAATTGCCTTGCTTTTTGTTCTGTTAGTTTTCTGTGTACTTACTCCTCCCACCCCCAGCCCACGGTGTGACTTAGTCCAGCCACAGGATTGGTTGTCCTGTTAGGGAGGGCTCCCTCTCTAGGCTGGAGCTCTCAGTCCTCCCTTTCTTAGCATCCTAGTAAATCCCATTTCTTCTTTCTTCTGTTTAGTCCTTTGCTTTGTAGAGTGTATATTCTGTAATTTCCTGCAAGAAGAGTCATAGGTGGTAAACGTTTTGAAATCTTATATATGTGAAATGACTTTAGTTTATCTATCCTTGATCTATTCTTTAAATTTATGCTCAGTTAATAATGGGGCTTCCCTGGTGACTCAGTCGCTAAAGAATCTGCCTACAGTGCAGGAGATGAAGGTTTGATCGCTGGGTCAGAAAGACCCCCTGGAGAAGAGAAATGGCAACCCACTCCAGTATTCTTGCCTGGGGGATCCCATGGATTCCTGGCAGGCTGGCAGGCTGCAGGCTACAGTATGTGGGGTGGCAAAAGAGTTGGACATGACTTAGCAACTATACCACCACCACCACAGTTAATAATATGGCTGGGTATAGAATTCTAAGTTGAAAATCATTTTCCCTCAGAATTTGGAGGCATTTTTCTGAAGCCTTTTCTTTTCTATTACTGCTTTTGAAAACGTCTGATTCTTGATCTTTCGTGTGAAGCTTGTTTTTGATCTCTGGCTGCTTTATGGTCTCTCTTGTTAACCCCAAGTTTCTGAAGTTCCTAACACAGCTGAGTTTAGCTGTGTAATCTGTTTGCTTCTATTGAGCTGGGCTTTCATTGATCCCTTGCAGTTTAGAAATCCACTTCCTCTATGTGATATGTTCAATATGATGTCTTTAACTAGAAATCTTGATCAGTTTTTAAAAGGGAAATTATAATGAAACATGCTTCCCAGCGCCTGAAATATTATCATTTAAATGTCAAAAGGGGATTATGGTCATTAAATTGGCTAACCAGAATTTAAGAGAGTGCTGACAAACGTAGAATACAGACAGTCACGTATTTCATTTGCCAGAGCAAATAAAAGCTTCAGTGAATAAGTTGTTCTTGCCATTGATTGCTCTAGTATCCAGTCTTTCAGAGAAAGATAGATTTATTTATAAACTTTTATTAAAAGGAAAAACATACACTTCTATTTTTCTGGGCTACAAAATCACTGCAGGTGGTGACTGCAGCAATGAAATTAAAAGACGCTTACTCCTTGGAAGGAAAGTATGACCAACCTAGACAGCATATTAAAAAGCAGAGACATTACTTTGCCAACAAAGGTCCGCCTAGTCAAGGCTGTGGTTTTTCCAGTGGTCACGTATGGATGTGAGAGTTGGACTATAAAGAAAGCTGAGCACCAAAGAATTGATGCTTTTGAACTGTGGTGTTAGAGAAGACTTTTGAGAGTCCCTTGGACCGCAAGGAGATCCAACCAGTGCATCCTAAAGATCAGTCCTGAGTGTTCTTTGGAAGGACTGATGTTGAAGCTGAAACTCCAATACTTAAGTCAGCTCTTCTCATCAGGTGGCTAATTTGAAAAGACCCTGATGCTGGGAAAGATTGAAGGCAGGAGGAAAAGGGGATGACAGAGGAATGAGATGACTGGATGGCATCACCGACTCAATGGACATGAGTTTGGGTAAACTCATGGGAGTTATTGATGGAGAGGGAGGCCTGGCGTGCTATGGTCCATGGGGTCGCAAAGAGTCGGACACGACTGAGCAACTGAACTGCACTACCCATGTAATTTCAGAAGGTTAAAAGTACATTCTACCCAGTCCCTAGCTTTAGTTTGGTCCCCTAAAATCACATACCCCCCCAAATTCACTTATTTGATTTTCCAGTGTCCACCTGCTTTAGCTATTAAGTCAGCAGAACATTTACCCTCTAGGCCAAGGGTCCCCAATCTCTGCAATCTAGTGCCTGATGATCTGAGGTGGAGCTGATGTAATATAATAGAAATAACATGCACAATAAATGTAATGTGCTTGAATTATCCTGATACCATCCCCGGTCCAGGGAAAAGTTGTCTTCCGTGAAATTGGTCCCTGGTGCCAAAAATGTTGGGGGCTGCTCCTCTAAGCCAAGTGTGTGAAATAGATCTTTGAATTTTTCTCAGAGTTTTCCCCCCAAATGTCAGTTAAGGTAGTAAATCAGTCAGTGTTTATCAGTGTAAAGAAAAATATTTAGTAACTAACCATGACGTGGTTGGATGGCATCACTGACTCGATGGACATGAGTTTGAGCAGGCTTCAGGAGTTGATGATGGACAGGGAAGCCTGGTGTGCTACAGTCCATGGGGTCATGAAGTTGGACACTACTAAGCAACTGAACTGAACCATCTGCTAACACCTGCTGTAAAAAGAGCTCACATCTAAGAAGAGCTCTGAAGCTGCATGCTTCACCTCTAGGCCCACAGTCTTCCGGGGGCCATCAGAACAGCAGTGAACGTTGAGCAGGCACACTTCATTAGGGGGCGTGGGAGGTTTTACATGTCCTAATGTAAATTTGTAAAGGAAAAACACTCCAGCGTGTCTCCTGAGTCCCAAATCCCCTGCTGAATACTTCTATAACTAGATGTATGGGTTTTTACCTCCAAACAAGCAAATGTCTCTCTGTAAGTCCATTTTGGCACTGTCTGCCTGGAAATAACATCAGATCCCACAGGTTAAAGGCTCAGTCTCACACCAAATGCCTCCCCCCCCCCCCAACCCCCCCCACCCCAACTTCAGAATGCTAATTGCTGGTTCAGACTGTTTTCTGTACTGCTTATCAGCTAGCTGTAAATTGGAGGTTCCTATGACCCCCTCCTTGGAGTTGGTTAATTTGCTAGAGCTCCTCACAGAACTCAGGAAAACATTTTACTTACTAGTTGAGCAGTTTTATTATAAAAGAGTACAACTTAGGACCAGTCACATGGAAGAGACATGTAGGGTAAGGTATATTGATAGGAGTATGTACTGCACTCCCCACATGTTCACCAGCCTAGAAACTCTCCAAACCCCATCATCCTTTTAGATGTCTGTGGAGGCTTCATTATATAGCCATGGTTGATTAAATCACTGGCCGTTGGTGATCCACTCAGCCCCCAGCGTCTTTCCCCTCCTTGGAGGTGGGAGGAAGTGGGAATGAAATTCTAACCTTCTAGTCACCTGGTTGGTTCTCCTGGCAATCACCCCCTATCTTTCAGGACTTTCCAAAAGTCACTTTAAACTCAGGAACATGAACCCAGGTGTGGTTGAAAGGGGCTTTTATGAATAACAAAAGACTCCTTTGACTTCCCAGTGGTGAAGAACCCACCTGCCAATACAGGAGACGTAAGAGGTGCAGGTTTGATCCCTGGGTCAGGAAGATCCTCTGGAGGAGGGCAAGGCAACCCGCTCCAGTATTCTTGCCTGGAGAATTCCTTGGATGGAGAAGCCTGGCGAGCCATAGTTCACAGGGTTGCAGAGAGTCGGACATGACTAACGTGACTGAGCACGCGTGCAGACACCTTTATCTCGTCTCTCTCAGGAAGTTGCAGAGGTCGTAGGAGCTCTATGCCAGGAACAGGGACAAAGACCAAATATATATTTCTCACTATAAATCACAGTATAGTAAAACTTAATTCTGAACATAAGTTGTAATCATGGCCTACTTGTATGTGGGTTAGTAATGAGTCTGATTTCCTCTTCTCCCACCAGCTTTTTGGAGACTGGGAAGCCCAGCTGCGGAGGATAATGAAACTCATCGCTGGCGGCGGCCTGTCCATCACAGGCTCCCACAACATGTGTGGGGACTACCTGTACAGTGGCCACACGGTCATGCTCACACTCACCTACCTATTCATCAAAGAGTGTAAGTCTAGTGCGGCCTTCTGTGAGAATTTCCTCACCTGCCGTTGCCCACGGTTTCTGGAAAGTCCACAGGAGCAAGATGGGATCTCGGGAGGGCAGCCCCTCATCTCACTAGCGTGCTCACACCCAGCAGGCACCCAGGGAAATACACGTCACAAGTACCTGTACTTCTTGGGGGAAGTGTCTCGTTTCCTTAGCTGTCAGCTGTGGTATCAGGGTGTTTTATGACTGCTAGAAGGAGCCAGAAGGGAGGAGACAAAATTCCAGGCCTGGCTGGATGATGGTAGATGTTGTGTTCACTTGGCAGCCATTTTTCAGGCACTGGGTGCTGTACCATCTGCTCTAAAGAAGCACATGGGGATTGGTGGTGTCTCTTCCCTCAGACAAGCGCTCTCAGGGAAACTAAATGATGCAGACATTAAATGGGACATTTCTTTTAAAAATGTACTTAAAATACTTTATTATGAAACATACAAAAAATAATATTACAGGTACCCCTGTATGCTGCTCAGATCTAATATAAATATTTGTCATATCTGTTTCAGATGACAATATTAATATATTAATTATATCTGAATTAATTATATTAATTAATATATTAATATATATCTGAAGTTTTTCATTCTTTCCCCCTCCCGCTTTCCTCTGTTATTTCTCAGGTATGTTTTAGTCCTTTCTCTACTTGTAGAAAATTCCATTGTCCTTAATATTCTACCATTAGAAATAGTCTCAGTGAGCTTTATCTAGGTAGTTCCCATGAAGAGCAACAAGAGAAACCAGGCTGTGCGTATCACAGAGGAGGGACACCCTTTGCATTCTGGAGGTATTTGAGAGCCTGTGGCACCTGTTGGAACGTCAGTGTGGTTGGAATTCAGAGAGGTGGTAATAATGAGAATTGAAAAGTGAACTGCTGAGTAGGCACCAGATTGTGAAACATGCCTTGAGTCACAAGAAGGGGTCTGAATTTGCATTCTGACAGACATGAAGTGCCCATTGAGAGGCTGTAACTACTGGGGTGGTGTCGTCTGATTTGTCCTTTAGAGAGGGAGAAACCACCCCTGTGATGACTCACAGGATGGATTGGGGAGGACAGAGCAGGAGTTAGCAGGCTGGCTGCCGCTATAGTCCTGGAAAGAGATGGAGTGGCCCAGGCTATCAGGATGACATTGGTGTGGAGAGAAGTGGGGGAAACTGGGAGAAATTCACAAAAAGGAGTCTGCAGGTAACAGGATTGATTGTGGGAGTGCAGGGGACAGGTGATGGACTGAAGGGTGAAAGCCCAATTTTTGTCTTTAAAAACCTGGGATGGGGAACACAGGAAGAGAAGAGAAGATGTACTTCGGGACACCGAATGAGAAGAGAGACCGTAGGTGCTCTGCTTGTTCTTAGTAAGTGACCAGATAGAGTGGATTTGAGCAGTGTCTGTTCAGAACTGTCAGGGCCTGATCTGGCCCTGGCACTGGAGTGTAACTGGGCATGGGAAATGGGCACAGAACAGGCCTTACGCCAGCAGTCTGCTGCTGGTTGTTCCCTGAAATACTTCAGTGGGGTTTAGCTTTATTCTTGAAGATGAGACTGTAAACCAAGTTGGATGACGTGGGTCACAAACTGATTGTGAATCCTGGTGCTATCACTTACTCACTCTGTGACCTTGGGAAAAACCTCTGATCTCTATAAGTCTTAGTTTCCTCATCCTTAGAATCAGGTACTGATAGCTCCTTCATGGCTTTCCCAGTGGCTCAGCAGATAAAAAAATCCACCCGCCAGTTCAGGAGACACAGATTCAGTCCCTGGGTCCAGAAGATCCCCTGGAGGAGGAAATGGCAACCCACTCCAGTATTCTTGCCTGAGAAATCCCATGGACAGAGGAGCCTGGTGGAACCCTACGTCCATGGGGTTCCAAAGAGTCAGAGACGACGGAGCAGCCAAGTACACACGCACACAACGCCTTCATCAGTGAGGGAGAGGTTGTGAAAATTAAAGCAGATGGCATATGGGGACAGTAACAGAGGAGCTGGGAGAGTGAACAGCAGCTGCTCTTTGTTATTGTATTGTTATGGTATCAAATACAACTCTTCCTGGAAAGGGAACATGGAGCCCTGTACATACACTAAGACCTCTGCCCCAACCCCTGACCGTGGCATTTAAACCTGCAAATGTCCCTCCCTTCACCCTCTCTGCTGCTAATCCCGCTTATCTTAAATCCAGAGCATTTAACACCTTCTAACATAGAGTATAGGTTACTTGATTATAATTATTATTTATTGTCTCTTTTCATTACTGGGAAGGGATCTCTCCACAAAGGCAGACTGTTTGCCTGTGACGTTCATTGATCCCAAGATCTAGTGACTAGATCTTGTCCTGGCTACATTGCAGATGTTTAATAATTAGTGGGTAAATGAATGCCTGATACTTGGACCCCCTGAGAATCCTATAAAAGGCTAAACTGTCTTTCCCAGGGTGAGGAGGGTAGATCACATTCAGACAACATTTTTGCCTAACGTATCAGATCCTCTGAAGCACATTCATGGAGAATACATGGTAGAAGGGCCTACACCAGTAGAGATTTTGAATCTTCCATCAAGTGACTTCTCAGACACTGTCCTGCCCTTGGGAGTGTACCTGGGCTAGAATTCCTGGTCGCCTGGATTCTCTTATTTGTATTTGAGAAATGGACACCTCAAAGACTTAAAAAGTAGCATATGGTTGCAGAGCTGGGAAAGCAAATAGAGTGGTTGTATCAATTATAATTGTCTAGTCTGTATATAGGGATCCATAGACCAAAAGGTATTGATTTTTGTACAGAGCATTAACCCCATATTATTTCCAGGTAAATTTAATTATCAATAGACAGTTTTGTTTTTAATGGAGTGTGATGCATTAACCTGTCCTTGTTTGTCCTTTGAAACTGCATTTATGATTATATGGGTCAAGTAATAACCACATATAAATTACCGTGGCTAATAAAATCACTTGGTGAAATAAGCCGCTTCCCTTCTAACCTTGGTTACATGGATGCCAAAGCCCTTGGATTTGCCACCCTAAGCAATCTGTTTTCAGAAGGAAAGATCCAAGGTAATTGGACTCAGAATGAATAGTTGAGGCGTGGTTGGGTGCCCTTCGTCATACGTGACTAATAGTACTCTTCTTGCAACTTTCTCCTTCGCAGATTCCCCTCGACGACTGTGGTGGTACCACTGGATCTGTTGGCTTCTCAGCGTGGTGGGAATCTTCTGTATTCTCTTAGCGCATGACCACTACACTGTGGACGTGGTGGTGGCATACTACATCACCACAAGACTCTTCTGGTGGTACCACACTATGGCCAATCAGCAAGTGAGTTTTTCTCCTCCTTTGGTGTTAATTCCTAACAGTTGACTAGCTGTTGCTGGCGTGGCAACAGGGGGAGTCAACTGAGACTATATTGTCTCCTGAACCACTTCTGAATCAAAGTGATGCTGATCTACTTCTGAATCAAAGCTGAACCAGAAATATGTTTCTATAATGACATAGGAGATGGCATCCTTCTAGAACAAGTATCACATTCTCATCGTCCCTGGAAAATACTTTTTTAAGCTGTGCCCTCCTCTTGCTTGATCTTGCATTCCTACCTTGTTTTCCATCTTGGGCCCCTCACCAGCTTAATACTTAACATTTAATTAAGTCTCTCCATTTTCATCCTAGGAGAGTAACTAAAGCACTAATTGAAGTATTTATTTATAGACAAGAGACTTAAGTAAGCCACACGTTTTCCATGTACTCCTGGCATTGGAGTTGTTTGTTTCTCTGCTAGAGAAACAGGTGTGGTCTGGTTTGCAGTTGGGTACAGAGTGTAGAATGGTGGTGTGCGTGTGAACCTGAGGCCATAAAGGTGATCCAGGGGCTGGATCTGGGGGCCTTTGTGGATTTTAATATGGAAAATATTTGAACCTAAAGTGAAAAATTATGAGAATCATGTGTATGTTCCTATCAGGGCTGAAACAATCAGTTGTTCTTCCTGACTCGATTTTCTCTTTCTGTGTTCTCTTAGGTGCTAAAAGAAGCTTCCCAGATGAACCTCCTGGCCAGAGTGTGGTGGTACAGGCCATTTCAGTACTTTGAAAAGAATGTCCAAGGAATTGTACCTCGATCTTACCACTGGCCCTTCCCCTGGCCGGTAATCCACCTTGGTAGGCAAGTTAAATACAGCCGACTGGTAAATGACACCTAACAGCTCTACGTGGTGGAGAAAAGAGGAACTGTCCGAAGTGCTAAGAACTCCATGAGAGAAGATGCCATAAAATAAACAACTCCCCTAATCCTATTATCTTTCAACAATTACCTTGACTTAACCTATTGAGTTACCTGGTCAGCACTGTGATCTTTTTTTCTCTCCAAAGGACCTGCGTTGGACAACAATAAAGAAAACAACCTATCATACACTGTACACATTTCCTGTTCATAAGTTTGGGATTTACATAATCTGCGACCACCATGTTCCTTTGTATATGATGCAACAGCATAAATGTAAGCTTTTATATCATCAGTTCTGGTCTTTCCAGTTACATCTGGAAATAAAGCGTATTATTTTCTTGGGAAAACATACTTTTCATATCTTTTGCCCCAAAGATTGGGCTGTAAGCCATTTTCTAGCAAATGTCTCTATGAAGGTTTCTTAAGTACCTGAATGGGGTTCGATTCTGAAATCTTTCTACCTGTTGCACCGATATTCAAATAAAAATGACAGACACAGGAAGGTTTGGTAACTTTGGGTTTTGTAAAAATCAGCAGAGACAGTGTGTCAAAAAGTGCAAAAAAAAAAAAAAAAAAAGATTCTGTTATAAAGTGATTTTCTAAGTATTTCCTAACTTTATTTTTCAAAATAATGTTATGAAAACCAAATTTAAAGATTTTTACATGTCAGAGAACAGAGAGTTAAAATTTAAAAATGCTTCTTGGGAGAGAAATTTGTCTATGTTTCTAGTGCCTTTCTTGTCTTGATTGTATGGTCAGTAGGCAATCTTCAATGTTTTTATTTAAATATTCCATGAAAATATAAATGTATGTATACACTACTAAATTTTGCATTTATAGCTAAATTCAATCAGAAGACTGTTTATGGTTCTCAAACTGCTATGAATTAAAGAATGGGGGAATTAATTGGAAAGTCAGAGCCTGTTCCCATATTGTGAGCAGGTGGCAATGACATGTACCACTTCAATTATTTTACCATCTATTTGGTAGTTCGATTTTAACTATACAATGAAAACAGCCATGAATACTTTGTTTTTAAAAAGAGAGTTTTGAAAATGATCACTTAACTAAAACTTGAAAGCTATAAATTAGTTCTCCATACTCTCATGACAATTTTGTTGGTGAACAACAAAAAAGAGATCTATTTCTTTAAAATATATTTGTGCAGGAACTGCATGTAGTTTTAAGTTTTACTCCTAACAGAAGTATGTTTGGGGAAGTATTCTATTCTATACTTGCCAATGTGGAGAACAAAATAGTTTTTTAAGGATGAAGAAGTATATATATCCATTCTGTATTTTATGTGCAGCAGAATTATCTTCCGTAGGGTTTTTTGTGTATTCACAAGGTGATATTTGTATTGTAAAACAATAATGGTGAAGGAAATAAAAAGGCTTTTAAAATTTTGTTTGTTTTAAATCTTTGTAAAGTTATTATTCCAGAGAGTGTACTGATTATCTTAACAGCTTACCTAGATCATAAATTAATCAAGATGCACTTTTTAATAAAAACTGATACTTAAAGAAATGTCTGCTCTTTCTAATGTGTTCACATTCTTCACAAGAGTCATAAATGAAATCCTTGAAGCAAGATGTAGAAACAAGTTTTGGCATTTCCTCACTGAGTTTGTTTGAGAGATGGCCTTTATAATCATGTTTCTTTTCCCTTGAGATTCTTTGAAATGTACTCTAAACTTCAGTATAACCTCTACAGATAGCATGTATTTTTAAAAACATAAGAAAAGACTCACAGCTAAGTTCAAATTGCAGACCACTGTTTACCAATAATTTTCAATTCTCCAGTTCTCAATCAGGTCATTTACTTCCCCTCCACCCCATAACTGAAAGCAATATAAGTTTTTCAGTTTAGATGGAAAGGGAAAGTAAATTCCAAAATGAGAAATACGGTCATAGTACTTTGACAATCAATGGTAAGAAAAACTTTGACAATCAATGGTAAGAAAAACTTTTTAAAGAGGAAAAAGATATGTTATTCTTGATGTGGGAAAAAAATGAGGATGTTAACAGTGGAAACCTGTTCATGTGAAGGGAAGCTGTTGTCTTAACCTGGGAGGCTACAGCTGTAATACTAGAAAGATTTCCTGCGTGGGACCAGATGCCGTATTTTAAAAAGGTAAGTAACTTGAATGATGAAAATGAATTCTTGACATATGCTAAAAACAGCATTTTTTCCCCTAAATCAAAAGTTATATTTTAAAAAATCATTACTTTAAGTTTACCTGCTACATTTGTACCAAGAAGTTCCCTTAATGGTTGTTCTTCATGCCTGGCTGTGTAGAATCATGAATTGACATATCTTGTGGCTCTCAAGTTTGCAACTTCCAGGTAGAAAAAGAGAAATCTTATGTTCTGGAGAATTGTACTATACTTGATAATGACTGCCAGAATGAGGACATGTGTTTTTCTGTGCTTTGGTTTAGTAAGCCAGAGCCCTGGACCATAGCTTCTTTATCTAACACTCTAAGAGTTAGGCAATTCTCAAGCATTATCTTGTTAACCCTTACAGCACCACAAGGTTCCTTATTAACCCCATTTTATGGAGCTTGGTTTAAGTATGTTTAATAACTTTCCCAAGGGCATGCAACTGATAAAAATCTGATTGAAGTTCAAGTTTTCACCCACTCCTTGACACCCTCTCCACCCACATCCTGTGAGCTTTCATAAATTCTTCAGCAAGAGTCCACAGTGAGAGAAATCTGAATGTGGTAGTCAGGCTAAGCAGAGTGACTTACTGTGAACCAAGTACCAGGGAATTCACACCATGAGGTAGAGAGGCTCATTTTGCCAGTTTCTGCTTGTTGTATTTGTTTTATTTGTATCCCAAGCAAAAACCGAAATTGATAAATATGACAAGTATCTCAAAATTATAAATATTACATAAAACGAGAGTGCCTGCTAGCTTTTTTTTTTTAAGTTTTTGTTAGAGTATAGTTGATTTACAATGTTGTGTTTCAGCTGTACCATAAAGTGAATCAGTTTTACATGTATCCACTCTTTTTTAGATTCTTTTCCCATATAGGTCATTATATAGAGCCTATGGAGTAGAGTTGCCTGTAGAATACAGTAAGTCCTTATTAGTTACCTATCCTATATCTGTATATGTCAATCCCAATCTCCCAGTTTCTCTCTCTCATCTCTCCTCTGGTAACCGTAAGTTTGTTTTTTCGACATCTGTGACTGTTTCTGTTTTGTAAGTTCATTTGTACCACTTTTTTAGATTCCACGTATAAGCAATATCATCTATTTGTCTTCCTCTGACTTCCTTCACTCCATGTGACAATCTCTAGGCCCATCCATGTTGCTGCAAATGGCATTATTTCATTCTTTTTTATGGGTGAGTAGTATTCCATTATATATATGTACCGTATTCTTTATCCATTCCCCTGTCCTCTGTGGGTGAAAATTTAGATTGCTTCTGTGTCTTGGCATTGTAAATAGTGCTACTGTGAATGCTGGGGTGCGTGTATCTTTTTGAATTATGGTTTTCTCCAGATATATGCCCAGGAGTGGGATTGTTGGATGAATGGTAGTTCTGTATTTAGTTTTTTAAGGAATCCCCATACTGTTCTTAGTGGTTGTACCAATTTACATCCCACCAACAGTGTAGGAGGGTTCCCTTTTCTTCACACCCTCTCTAATATTTATTGCTTGTAGATTTTTTTGATGATGGCCTTTCTGACCTACTTGAAGTGATACCTCATTGTAGCTTTGATTTGCATTTCTCTAATAATTAATGATGTTGAGCACTTTTCATGTGCTTTTCGGCCAGCCATATGTCTTCTTTGGAGAAATGTCTATTTAGATCTTCTGCCCATTTTTTGAGTGAAGGTTTTTTTGTTTTTTGTTTTTGAGCTGCATGAGCTGTTTGAGATTAATCCCTTGTTGGTTGCTTTGTTTGTAAAGATTTTCTCCCATTCTGTGGGTTGTCTTTTCATTTTGTTTATGGTTTCCTTTGCTGTGCAAAAACTTTTAATTAGGTCCCATTTGTTTGCTTTTATTTTCATTATAGTAGGATGTGGTTCCAAAAAGATGTGCTGTGATTTATGTCAAAGAATCTGCTTTTACTTTCCTCTAAGAGTTTTATAGTGTCTGGCCTTACATTTAGGTCTTTAATCCATTTTGAGTTGGTTTTTGTGCATGGTGTTAGAGAATATTCTAATTTCATCCTTTTACATGTAACTGTCCAGTGTTCCCAGCACCACTTACTGAAAAGACTTGTCTTTTCTCTGTTGTATATTCTTGCCTCCTTTGTCAGCCTGCTAACACTAATTTGACCACCACTATACAAAAAGTCAGGTTTTCAATTAACTGGGAAATGGGATATGCTCCTTGGAGCCCTTCATATTGACACACCTTTTTCTCTTTTTGGTGGGGAAACTCGTTTTGAGCAAATCAAAGCTGCTGTCTTGAAATTCTGCTTATCAGCACCTTAACATTCTTGTCTGTCTGCTGGCCCAGAGAGCAAATAAGCAGAAACTTAAACAATGCCTGCCTTCAGAGGGCCCAGACTCCAGCTCCCCCAGGAGGGCAGAGATAGGCATGATGAGTGAGAGCTGGACTAAGAGTGAGGGGAAGTGACAAGGAAGAAGGCTGGAGTCGGGCCCAGAGGGTTCAGAGAGTGGCTGAGGCGGCAGCATTCCAGCAAGGCACAGAAGGATGTTGCGAATGGCTCTGGTTTGCTCTTGGTGAGAAGAATGAAGTGAGGATTTATGTAAGAGTTCCTATGTGTTTCAGAAATCCTGTTAATTCTTGAGCCCTGATGTGGCACAGTGGTATGATTTAGCATCAAATGATTGAGAAAATACACGCTTATGAATTAGAAATGTCCTCAAGAGAATTTGTGGTTTATTAATCACAATAGCGTATATGGACTATTTGGTCAATGGGAATAATACTTATTTATAAGAGCCATTATTCCGTTAACACATCAAGGTTTTTGTGTGTAAAGATTTGAGGA